CCGTTTGATTTGGAATCAAATAGTTCTTCGAATGTTAGTGTTTTTTTCCCTCTGATTGTTTGGTCATTTACTTGCCTATGAATAACGCACCATGTAATCTTTCATGTACCGGTTGGAAAATTTGCAGGCTACAAATGGAATTGAATTTTTTCGCCAAACAATTAGGCATGAAGATAAGAATTTTCATCTGCGAATGTGGTAATCCGTCTTTTGATTTTGTTGTCCTCTCTTCTTCTAAATGCATATACTTGCCACCTTTCTATTGCAGAAAGTCCGTTATCGATGTTGGCGTTGTGTTATGCATTTATCAATACATATAGATCCATGGAAATGTTTATCTTATGTTCTACCATTTCTAATCTAGCATGGAAATTTCACTTTTGTAATATACATTAATTATCATTGTGTGCAACATTTTGCATATTGTATCAGGGATACTGGTGCGCAAGAGAGATTTAAAAGCTTAATACCATGTTATATAAGAGATTCTTCTGTTGCTGTTATTGTCTATGATTTAACGAGTAAGACTTTTTTTTTTTTAACAAAGTCCATTGGAAATTTCAGAACCGGTCATGTTCATCTCTTTCTTCCCGACTCATACTTCTCACAATGAAAATCTCATGTGTAGATAAGCAATCATTTTTGAACACCTCGAAGTGGATTGAAGATTTTCATGCGGAAAGAGGCAATAATGGCATTATTGTTCTTGTTGGTAACAAAACCGATCTTGATAATAAAAGGTAAAGAAAACAAAAACAATCAATCAAATCCTGAAGTTTCATGGTTGTTTCACAAAACCATGAATCATTGTGTGATTGATTCAACAGGCAAATTTCAACAGAGGAAGGAGATAATAAAGCTCGCGAGTTTGGAGCTTTGTTCATAGAGACTAGTGCAAAAATTGGATTCAACATTAAGGTAAACAAGCAAACAAGTTAATGACACAAGCCGTTGTTATAAATTTATCTCTGAAGTAAAACTTACTTTTAGTTGTTGATTTTGAGTGCAGCCTTTGTTCTCCAAGATTGCATCGGAGTTACAGGGAATTGAGACAGTTGCTTGAAGGATCCAAGAAGATTTGGTGAATGACTCCATTGACTAATTTATCTTAACCAAGAAATGGAAATTGTTCTTGTTAATGAACTATATGATAATATCTAATAAACATAGCTTTTTACAGAGTTATGAAGAGAAAGAAAACTTTATAATATGATTTGATAAATTATTGTTACAATGAAAAGATATTTTTTATTTTGTGTGGTAAAATCGGTTTCTTACTTTTATTTAATAGAAATCAATTAAGTTGATCTTAATAGCGAAATATTTTCAGAAAATAAAATACATCAAAGAAAATATTTTTAGAAATATTATAACTTTATAACAAAACAAATATTTTTTAAAATATTATAAATTTATAACAAAACATTTAGCGATTTTTTTTTTTAAACAATCACGAAAATATTGAATAGCGTCGTCGATAATCATCTATTTAACATAAAAAAAAAAACCGAAAATTAACCAACTCTTATTATGAGAAAAAGGGATGATGACGTGTCAACAATTTTCCATCGTCACCGGAAAAAGGAGAAGAAAATGCAACATCGAGTCCACTTTCACCAAATCCCAACCTAAATATTCTCTGCGGCGAGAACGATGTTAGTGAGAAGTGAGATTAAAGCTTAAAGCTTTAAGAAAGAAAGTTCAAGTGCTACAAGTATGTATCAACTATCACTATTAGTCCAACCCTAGAACCATTCTCTTTGTCTTCTTCCTTTAGATCCAACCCAACTATTGATTCAATCTCGTTTTTTGTTTCTCGGGTCTGTTCAAAGTTTCCGACTTTCTTAATCTGTCGAAATTTCCTATCCCAGACCGGAAGAAATGCGTGGCCTTGATCGATGGATTGCTGACGCAATCAGATCAGAACCATTGGGTAATAATGGTCTAATCCTCGGTGGATTGTTTCTCGACGAATCTGTTCCTTGTTCGTCTGTCTCTTTTGTTCACTTAAAGAATTGCTCGATCAATTCGTGTCGCTTTGTCGGAAAGTCGAATTTTTTGAAGTTTAGGAGACGAAAAGGGACAAGGGAACCTCTGTTTTTGTCGGTCAGTTTATCGATTAAGGAGAGTAGTAATGGTGAGGAAGAAGAAGGTGAAGGGTATAATGGTCAAAACGGCTATAAATCTCTTCCGGTGAAAGATTCAGTGTTGATCGGTGGTGGTCAAGAAGCAATGGAGAAGGTTACGGTTAAGGAAAATGGATCAGGAGCTCTCAACACCACCAAGCATTTATGGGCTGGAGCTTTTGCAGCCATGGTTTCAAGGTCTCTTCTTCATCTTTACTTGAGATTTGAACCATAGATTCAATATAGTTAGTGTAAAGTTGTAGACTTGTAAGTGTTGTGGTTGGTACTTAGTGATATATGCTTATATGAGGATTTTTGTATTGATTTGGTTGTTGTAGTTTGGTGGCTCATTGGGTTTTGGTTTGAGCAGAACTTGCATTGCACCTCTTGAGCGGATGAAGCTAGAATACATTGTACGCGGAGAGCAACGGAGTCTCCTTGGACTTGTTCAGAGGATTGCTACAACTGAAGGGATTAGAGGTTTTTGGAAAGGGAATTTGGTTAATATTCTTCGGACCGCTCCTTTTAAGTCCATCAACTTCTATGCTTATGATACATATAGAGGCCAGCTTCTTAAATTGTCCGGGAACAACGAAACTACTAATTTCGAGAGGTTTGTCGCTGGTGCTGCTGCAGGAGTAACAGCTAGTTTGCTTTGTTTACCACTTGATACCGTAAGTAGATTCACAACAAAAAATTCCTTGAGCTTTTTTTTGTATACCATTCTTGAGGTTCTTTAGCTTTACTTTGGTTTCGAAATGCAGATAAGAACGGTTCTGGTGGCACCCGGGGGAGAGACATTAGGTGGTGTAGTTGGTGCATTCCGTCACATGATTCAAACCGAAGGTTTCTTTTCGTTATACAAAGGTCTTGTACCTTCACTTGTTAGTATGGCTCCATCGGGAGCTGTGTTCTACGGTGTGTATGATATTTTAAAATCAGCTTACCTTCATACACCGGAAGGTAAGAAACGGCTTGAACACATGAAACAAGAAGAGGAAGAGCTCAACGCTTTCGATCAACTCGAGCTTGGTCCCATGAGAACATTGTTGTATGGAGCAATCGCAGGGGCTTGCTCAGAAGCGGCAACTTATCCGTTTGAAGTTGTGAGAAGGCATTTACAAATGCAGTCACATGCGAAGAAGTTAAGCACAGTGGCTACTTGTTTGAAGATCATTGACCAAGGAGGTGTCCCTGCTCTATATGCTGGCTTGATTCCCAGCTTATTGCAGGTACAATTCCTAAATTTTAGACATAAACTAATATCTCTTTAAACCTGTCTTACACATTTGTTAATAATTCTCTGATAATTGCAGGTTTTGCCTTCGGCAGCGATTAGTTACTTTGTGTACGAGTTCATGAAAGTTGTCTTGAAAGTAGAATCAGCATAAGACATAAGTGGTCTTGTTGGTTTGCTAAAGCTACTACTTCAGTGAAGAGATTTTTTTTTGTTTTTGTTTTGGGTTTTACACTCCAATCTTGAAGCTTTCTTTCCCTTTTACAAAACCAGATAGTTTGTTCCACAATTGGTTGCAATAAAAATAATAAGATTTGGAAATTCCAATTTGGATTCCTGTGTTCTGATATATATAAAACATACACAATCTGACAATTTCATCAACATCACAGAATGTTTGGAAAATCCCATACAGACAGGGAAAACAAATTAAGTCTTCAGTAACAGAATCACATTTGCCTCTTAAGACAACAAGCCAAGACCACACCATATGAGAGTGTCTTTCAGCAAGCTCCCTTACTGTTGCCATCCATATGGTTGGTTTCTAGCACCACCCATTGGATTCTGACCTCTTCCAGAACCACCAGAGCCACCGTATTGACCACCTTGTGGGTAGTTAGGAGGTCCAGCCCCATAGCCACCACCAGGTCCTCTAGGACCAGAGTTATATGGTGCACCACGACCTTGTGGAGGATATGATCCGCTACTGTAACCTCCACGGCTCTGATTATTATAACCACCGGGTTGGTTTCCACTAGGAGGATAACGATTCGGACCAGGTGCACCACCACGGGGCTTTTGATAGTAGTGGTGGCCGCTAGGTCCACCAGCAGGTAGTTGCGGTGGCGGCGCACTGTTAATAGGGTGGTTTGGTCCAGCAGGCCAATGTGGAGCGGCATGAGACTGACCAACACCATGTTGCTGTGGAGGCAAACGAGAGTGTTGCTGCTGCGGATGCTGCAGTTTCTGTTTTTTGGCTGCTTCCTCATTATGACGCATCTGCTGCCGCTTTTTCTTTGTCTGGAACTCATGTGATGATTCATATGTCGGTAGACTGTTGACACGAGACAGTTTCAGTTTGAGATGAATCAGTCTCTAATTGTTCTTGATCATCATTTGTTGATGTATGATGAACCAAATGGGTTATGATCAACAACTTAAGAGAATTCGATTACCTCTTTGGATCACAAGGCAATGGATCAGTCCAAAAGTACTCAGCATCAAGAGCATCCTTTGCGCATATTCTCTGCACCAACAAAGAGGAAAAATATATGGACTTAATGTCAAGAGCAAGGCTATTAAATTCTGCAATTTGCTAAGATTCCAGACAATGGTTCTCTATTAAAAAAATCTTTGGTACCTGCAATGGATCAAGCACCAACATTTTCTCCAGTAGGTCAAGCGCATGGCGATCAAAACTGTAGCAGATGAGAAAAAGGGAAGAAAAATGAGATCTCTCCTGGATCAAAGTAATTATTGTATAAAAGTGTTGAACCTACATAATTGTTTATACTTACTGTCTGTAGATCTCTCTTACACGTCTCTTCAATTGTCGAGATGATTTCATTTGGTTATACCACGGCATCTTGGAAACCCCAGGCCAGTTGTTTTCATCAGGAGATCCACAAAGTTCATAAATCTTATTCAATTGTTCATTCTGGAGAAACAAAAATATTAGTAAAGTACGTGTAAACGTCATCAAAGCACACTGTACTAATACACACCGGCCATATTCAAAAAGATGAAAACCTGACCTCAGTTTTCCCAGGCAAGATTGGTTTTCCATTCAAAAGTTCAGCAAATATGCAACCAACAGACCACATGTCAATCGCTGGCCCATATTTTGTCGCACCAAGTAGTAATTCAGGGGGCCTATCGCAATAACCAATGCATTAAGTAGAGAAGAAGATACAGGAATAAGCAATACTTATTCTCTGCCTCTTTAACGTATATAACATCAAAGTTTATAGGCATACAACATACATACCTATACCACAACGTGATTACACGGTTTGTAAGATTTCCAGAATGATCATGAGAAAATGACCGTGCAAGCCCAAAATCCGCAAGCTTTAAATTTCCCTCATTGTCAATAAGGAGATTCGAACCTGTACACGGAGATATAGGTTTAACTAACAAGTAAAAGGCAAAAACCAAAAAACGTCAACAATGCATTTGGGATAGTCAGTGACCTTTTATATCACGGTGAAGTACTTGATTCACATGACAATAGTGAAGCCCAGTGAGGAGTTGCTTCATGTAACACTTTTTTTTTCACATATGTTCAAATGTCAGAAAAACTCGAAACAATAAGGTTTTGTGAAGGCTACTACAACAAGGTATCTAGCCATGCACTACCTTTATCTGAGGGACCGTAAATCTCAGTCCAGGACGATCAGCAAGTCCAGTCAAATCATGATCCATGTACTCAAAGACCATGTAGATTCCACCCTTGTATTTGTTATTATCTAAAAATTGGAGCAAAGCAACAAGCTTTAGACGGGCATAATGGGTTATCAAAGATCTATTATGGATTTAGCTATGTTCTACAGCAAATAATTAGAAGTTGAATAAGTTTCACTAACCTGGGTTTCCTTGATCGTCCCTATCTCGGCCTTTTAAAGACAAAAAAAACCACAAAACTAAAGTATCAAACTTAACGCCCCCTTAAAGGAATCTTCTAAAGCAATCACAAAACAAGCAATTGTTCCTTATTATTATTATTACCTGGAGAAGTCACAATCTCTTTCAAATGGATGACATTTTCATGATGCAGCTTCTTCAGAATTTTTATCTCCCGGATTGCAGTTATAGGAAACTTGATGCAAAACAGTGATAATGGAATTTCATAAGTCATATTGGATTCAGAAAGTTTATAACGTTTCAAAGCTAGTAATCAAATGTAGCTTACCCCTTCTCTTTCATTGTCCATACGAATCTTTTTCAGAGCCACGATCTCACCAGTTTTGATCTCTTTAGCCATATAAACTTGACTGCAAAATCAAAAGCCAAACATATGATTCTAAAACCAAACTACTAAGTTCCAGAAAAAGCTTCACACTTATATGAAATCAGAAGAAAAAGGAAATGTTATATACAGACAGAGCTAGCTTCAGATGTTTATTCAACAGACACACTTATCTACCATATCAAGCATTTGATAATCATGCAAATCGGATTTCTACAGATTCTGAGAACCAATCTAAGAATCTTAATTCACTCAATTACCGAAAAATTCTCCA